CTCGTGTTTTCACCCATAGCCTTGATTGGCCTACCTCCGTTTTGCCAATAAGAACTTCTGCAAACGTTTTCGTAGCTTCTCTGTTATTTTGTACACCCCGACCCTCAACAGCCACCCTCCGTTTGGGCGAATTCATAGCTCCAAGAGTGCTCTGTTTCACCAGTCTGCGTTGATCACTACTGAAATCAGCTTCCTTAACCTTTAGCGCTCTGTCATCCACCCACAATCCATTCACTTTTTGTATTGCCACAGTAGCAACCACTGTGCAGTCATATCTTACGAAACCAAATCTTGTATTGGATGACCATCTCCTTTTGTTTGGAGTAAAGACATCCTTTACAACTCCAAACTTATTAAACAAAGTAAATAGGCCTTTTGGATCATTGGATTTGGGTAAGTTATCCACAAAGACAGAGATCAATCTTGCTCTATTTCCATACAACCTTCCAATCACTCTGTTCCTTTGTTTCACCACCGACTTCCACTCTCCACCATGGGTTTCCATTACCACAACCAGACTACTTCCCACTCTCTCACTATAAAATTGCTTTGGCAGGTTGTATATTATAGTCAATATTGCTCTGTAATATAATAACATATATAACACATACAACTAATGTTTAGTTGCAGTACCGGCTAACAGGTGATGCATAATGCTCTAACTAGCAATCACTCTATTTAGCTTGCTTGTTTCCCATCAAGTGATAGACACTTGACTAGTCGTATACTATCCAGTTCCGAATATGGAGTCCATGCCTAAACCATCCTTGGAAAGTGATGATAAGCTACACATAGTTATGCTTCCATGGTTAGCCTTTGGTCACATGATTCCTTTCCTAGAGCTCTCCAAGCTTATTGCTCAAAAGGGTCACACGGTCTCCTTTGTATCCACTCCTAGAAACATCGACAAACTCCCAAAAATGCCTCAAAAGCTAGCCTCTCTCATCAATCTAGTGAAGCTTCAATTGCCTCAGGTCAAAAAACTCCCCGAAAACACAAAGTCCACCACCGATCTTCCCTATGACAAGGTCAAGTATCTGAAGATGGCCTACGATCAACTCCAACAACCCATGACTCAGCTTCTAGCAGATATGGCTCCCGATTGGGTGATTTACGATTTCGCACCTTATTGGCTAGGCCCTGTTGCTGCCAAACTTGGCATTTCTAGAGTCTGCTTCAGCATCTTCATTGCCGCTACGTTGTGCTTTGCTGGTCCCATACCAGTCTTGAAGGGCGAAGATGATCGTACAGCGCCCGAGGACTTCACTGCTACACCTAAATGGATCCCCTTTAAATCTAACATCGCATGCTTTCAGCTCTTTGAGGTTAAGTGTATCTTTGACGACGTAGCCAGTGTCGATTACGAAAACATTCCCGCTACATATCGGTTTGGAGCAGGCATCGAAGCTTGTGACGTGTTGGCTGTGAGAAGCTCTTATGAGTTTGAACCCGAATGGTTAAAACTTCTTCAACATATTCACTAGAAGCCGATTATACCCATCGGTCTACTTCCCACCACGACGTATGATAGTAGTGACAATGGTGAAGCTTGGACGGAGATTAAAGAGTGGCTTAACAAGCAAGCTAAGAGGCCGGTTGTCTACGTTGCCTTCGGGAGCGAAGCAAAACCAAATCAAGCCGAACTCACTGAGATAGCTCTCGGGTTAGAGCTATCTGAGTTACCATTTTTTTGGGTTCTGAGGAATTGGCGTGGTGTGGCTGATGCTGAGGTGATCGAGTTACCAAACGGGTTTGAGGAGAGAACTAAGGAACGAGGTGTAGTTTGCACTAGTTGGGCGCCTCAACTCAAGATACTGAGTCATGACTTGGTGGGTGGGTTCTTGTCTCACTCTAGGTTGAGTTCAGTTGTTGAGGCTATACAGTTCACGAAGCCACTCATTTTGTTGTCTTCCCTGGCAGACACAGGGTTGATCGCTAGGCTTTTGGAAGAGAAGAGAACGGCATACTTGATACTGAGAGAAGAGCAAGACGGGTCATTCACGAGAGACTCGGTGGCCGACTCACTGAGACTAGTGATAGTTGAGGATGAAGGCAGGATTTACAAGGAGAAGGTTAAAGAGATGAGCGGGTTACGTGTTGACGAAGCTGTAGAAGATAGCTACGTGAATAATTTTTGGATTATCTTCTCATCTCAAAAAGCATAAACATTGAGCTTAGTCTAGTTTGTCAATTGCATATTTTAATTAAAAGTTAAAATATCATTATAAATTGATATATTATTCTCTTTACTTTTTTATATGTTTTTGGTAAAAAATAAAAAGATTACTAGAATAACTTGTTCCCAAAAGAGGTTTTAAAAAGATTAAAAATGAAACTAAGGACACACTATAAAAAATTAAAGTTTTAGAGACTAAAATTTAGGGACAAAATTATTTTTTAGGAACTAAACATTTTTGTTGCGAAACGTGTCGTTATTATATTTTTAACAACGAAAATTAGATATTGGTGATGAATTTTATCCTTTTGGAACCAAATTTTTTGTTTAAAAAAATAAATCATTTTGAGATCAAATTATTTTGTCCATAAAAGTCAGTTTATTAGCGACATTTTCAAAATGTTGTCGCTAAAAGTCTTATTTTTGACTTTTCGAGACGACCTTTTAACAACTATCTTCATGACAATAGAAATTGATCCCTATATGTCTTTTGCAACACAATTTTCACGTTTAGAGACTAAGGGGTTGTTTGGGGTGTCCTAAATAAGTGCACTTTTTGTCTTTTTGGACTAAAAAATTGAGGAAAAAATATATGGATGTTTGGGTTAACTTTTTGACTTCTTATGGAAAAATGTGTATTAAAAAATTGTATAAATTAGTGTGTAGGAGAAAATTAGGATTGGGAATTGTGCAGCCGTAATTGTTGACTTTTAGTGAATAGTGATAACATTTTAACTTTTTGAGTAACTTTTTAACTTTTTTGTTTCTTGCCAAACTTGGCCTAAATTTGGTCTCTAAAACTCATATATGTTGTAGTGACAAGTTATATCATTTTCGAAGTGAATATTAAATTAAAAAATTTCGAAGTTATTTCGAAAATTAATTGTGTAAACTATTTTGCTTTGTGGCTGCTTCTTGAATCTTGGTCTGGTTTGTATTGATTTTGCTATCTATAATGTTTCTCTTTCTAGTTTGTATTTGTTGGGAATATAATATAAATAAGGACAAATTATATCATTTTAGTTAATGTGTTATTTTAATCACTCTAGTTGGATCAATTAGTACTGAATTTTTTTATTTTAACTAAAATTGGTTCAATTAATTTCAATTTTTTTTAATTATCAAAAGAAGAAACTTTATTGATGAGGGAAACAAAGTACAAACATAACTTACGTTAATAAAGAAGGAAATCAAGTCCATGTGTAGAATAAATGTAAATCACATGTTGATAATTTTAATAATTTTCTCTATAAAATTTATTAGTTTATAGTATTAATTTTTTTTCATTATTATTTTTGATTAGCAAAATAGAATAAAAACTTTATTGATGAAATTAATATACACAAGTATATCAATAAAAACAGAAATGACGAGTACAAAACTATATCATAGTAAGACAATATGACCCCAACTATAACGTGAATCCGGATCCTCGGTCGCGTTTTCCTGTAGCGCTTCCTGCGGCGCCCCCAAAACGACGTCGTTTTGGGGCCAAATTTCAATTAAAAAAAAAAAACGCAGAACTGTTGACAGAAGAGAAGAGAAGAAGGAAGGCCGAGAAAGGGAGGAGGAGGAAGAAGAAGAGGAGAGGAGAGAAGAAGGATCGCAGGAGGTTTTGATGTTAATCACAGCTTCATTTATTTAAAGTTTGTGAAAATGGAGAAGCAAACAAATTTTGGTTGTGGGTCTGTCGTGAATTCGGGTAGAGAAACGAAAACTTTGAACTTCACCCATGTGCTTATGAAAAAAATCACTTTTTAGAGTTTAATAATTGGGAAATTAAAACCATTGCCTCCCAATCACTGACTGTTGCTTGCAGGAATTCCTTTAAGGCCTTGATTGCTCTTTTTTGGCCACCGGGCTGGTTATTCCTTGTCCAATAGCTTCTTGTTCTCCCTTTCCCAGGGCTACCATAATGAGGACTCGACCCTGCATCCTTACCGCTACTTGTACGATCACCCCAATAATTGCCCCTATCATCATCATTTTCAGCACCACCCAATTGATCATTCTGACCACTACTAGTCCCAGAAGTAGCCTCCTTTCTTTTCACACATTCAATGAGGAAGTGCCTGTAGACGCGCTCGGAGAACTCCCGAGAAAATCTCGTTTTGTTCTCTAGCTACTACAGTTCGGACTCAATGTCACGGTTCTGAATCTAATCTCGCAAAGTGCAATGCAAGACCGATTCTAATCCAAAGAGTCCAAATCCGGCAAAACGTTTTGGAAAACTGATTTTTGTAAAGAAGTGCCAAACATGGACTGCTTTGCCAGATACAGAGTCGCCACCTAAATATTTAAAAAAAAAAAAAAAAACCCTAGCGATTGAATCATGTAAAAGAACTAAACCAGTGAACTAAATAGATATCAAATTGAATTTCAATAGGCAAAAACAATAGCATCAAATTGGCAATCTATAAGTATGCGAATTAGATTGAAAATAAACATATAAAAAAAAATTTAAACAATGGGCCCGGTCAGCATGCAACTCTAGTCTATTGTTTATTTAATATTGTAATTCTAAGCATGCACCTTCCAATGAATAAACCAGTGTACCCAAAAAAAAAAAAAAAATGGTACCGAACTCATATTATTAATCATACACCATGAAACTATATTCACTTAAAGGAATTGGCGCAGTGTGTGTTTGGAATGTAATCATGGATTTAACATACATGAAACACTGTGCTTTACATATTAAAAAAATGTTACACTAATTTTAATTCCTTGAATTCCTAATTAAGCATAGCAAGTCAATGGATCAATTAACTTATAAATCGTGAGCTACTAGTAGGAAAACCTATATGATCTTTTGAATTTATATATGAATCTACTCCGTCCCCCCATTTCTCTTTCCGTCTCTATCATTCTCTCTCTATTGTTTGCTCTCTCCGTCCTAGATCTAGGGTTTCCTCCGTCTCTCTCATGCTTCTTGAGAGATTCAACAGTTCGATTACGATTACTTAGTCAGATTTAATTTTAAATCCATCGATTCTGGAATCGATTTGGTTGAAATTTCCAGATGATTTTTTGTTTTTCTTGATTCTAATTCTGATTCTGATGATTTTGCAGAGGAAGATAGACCGGTTGAGTTGCACGAACGCGAGGTTACGAGACTGAGGAGTGAAAAAGGATCGAGATTATGGATCGGGATCGAGACAGGGATCGAGACCGTGACCAGTCGAGTCGAAGCAAGAGGAGGAGACGAGATCATGAATACTGGGTTGCTGGTAATCCTCCTAAGGTCTGGTCCTCCCGTCGCTACCGCCCCTCAGGTCTCGTCCTCTCTCTTTCTCTGTTTCTCTCTCTCCCTCTATTGTTCCATCAGATCTGGTCTCAAACAACTCACTATCTTCCTCGCTCTTCATACTGGATCTCGAAATTTCTTATTCAATAACATATGTTTCAAGTATGAGATTTCTTATTCAATGGCCTCACAGGATTGTTGTGCCTATAGGTGGTATAGCTGTAGATACAAGGTAATCACACACACATATATATATTTTAATTAAGAAGGGTTCTTAGTTGTACTTGGCTAATGATTTGCACCATAAGAACAAGATTTATTTGCATTGTTTATGGTATATCGTGATTGACACACTTTTTTCATCGTCAGGTTCAAGTATTTTTTTCATTTTTAGATGTTTTGTTCATCACATGAATTGATAGTATAACACTTTTTCTTTTCTTTTTTTCTTTTTTCTTGCTTTATTTTATTTTATATGGCAAGTTGGAGTTAACACTTCTTTGTGCCTTTTATGCAGTGAACCAGAGCTTAGACCACAGGGAAAGCTTACGGTGACAGTAGTGAAGGCAAATGATCTTAAGAACATGGAAATGATTGGAAAATCTGATCCTTATGTTGTTGTGTACATTTGACCATTGTTCAAGGTTAAAACAGAGGTCATTGACAATGACCTGAACCCCATTTGGAATCAAACATTTGAGCTGATTGCAGAAGACAAGGAGACACAGTCTCTTATTCTTGAGGTTTTGATCCACATGCCTTTAGGTCACTTTTGACTATGCTATTTTGTGAAATTACTGGGATGGTGCTTTACTTGTTGACCATTCTTGGAAAGTTAATTTGTGTACATACTGAGCCTCTATGCAATTATTCTCGTAATAATCTCTTATGAAAAAGCTTGAACCTAGGGGATGTGGGTGGAGGCCATTGCACCGGGGTAATTGCATAAAGGGTGGGAAATTATGAGAATAATTGACAAATATTGGGAATAATTGAATAAAGAGGAGAAAATGCACAACAGTGTAAAGGGCAGACTTACAGCATGTTTCCCTCTAGTTGTTCCAAGTTTACTGCTCTGTTGACTCAAGTTAGGCCAGACCTGTCACATGACCGGATAAGTGGGCAGACTGGTTAAAAAAAATGGTCGATCACGTTTGATAAATCTGATGCCAGTGATGATATAGTTATAGATTAGTTTTCTTTCCACTAGTGTATTAAAATAATTAGGTATCTTTTTGTCGTGATGCGATACATATTCAGGTCCGATGGGTTGGATTACCCTTCTCCATCACTATCCTGAACCTAATTGGGTTCTCCAATTCCACCCTTTAACTTGCCCCTGCGCTATTAAAAAACACTGGGTCAGTGTTTGTGCTATCCCTATCCCTACCCCTTACCTAGCTTATGTCCGAAGCTTTTCCCTCACCTTTTCCTTTTCCCTCACCTTTTCCTTTTCCTATTAAAATTTAGCTAAATATAAGCTAGGTCCTTTTATGAAATATAAGCTAAATATAAGCATTACCCTCACAGATTGTCCGTAGCAGGAACGGCTTCAACTTTGTCACCAGTTCTCCCTCCGGCATCCATGTATAGTTTTCCTCTACTTTTCTCTGGTCTCCTCAACTGTCTTCTCCTCTGCTCTCCTCACTGGTTCAATTGATTTTATAATTTTGATTAAGAATATATTTAATTAATGTATTGTGTAGTTGATGTTTAGCATATGCGCTAGTTATAAAAAAAAAAATTTTAAAAAAAATCTCTTTGTTTTCTAGTAATGTATCTTTTATGTTCTTCAATTTCTGCTAAACCAGAACATTTTAAGAAAATATAATGAAATCCCATGGGATTTATATGTACTTAGCATTTGCTAAACTCACTAGGTTAAGGAATCAATTAATTAAATTCAATTAAATGAAGAATTCAATTCGAAATCAAAATTACAGCACTGATAGGAAATTGGCTGACTGGAATACAGGGAGAAATTGAGCCTGCAGGGATCTTCTTTTGCAGAATTATGTTTTAATTTAATATGAAAGATAAAGGAAAGTTCATTCAGTACTACTAAACAGGTCATAGTTGGAATAAAAATACACATTCCTCATGATGTGGATTAGATTTTCTACTATGAGAACAAATTAGTAATCCATGACTTATTTACAAACTTTCTTTGATGAGTTAATGGAATTACCTGTGGTACGCTGGTACCACCGCCAGAAAGCATTGAGAGGAATTGAGCTTAGAATTTGGTCAATTGGTCCCAAGAACAGTTGCTGCTGCATAAAGGTGCTTTCTTAATATTGACATGTAATAATGACTTGTTATCACACTCGACATACTAATAGTCTAATACATTCTTGTCATCGTGAAAAACTGCAACAGCATATGGATGGGACCACAAATGAGCACCCGAGGGCGAAGGTGCGATATATTTTTTTCATAATAACATTATAAGTAGAAACACCTCCTTCCATTATAATTTTTTTGTTCTCCTCTTTCTAGTTCATTCTCTAGCTGCTCATTTTCTGTACCTTAAAAGAGGAAAAATAGGATAGCTTGATTCCATAACAGTTTTCCCTAACGTTAGAAGATAAGATAGGCCAATAATAAACCTTGATTTGCAGGGCTTGAGAATATTTGATTTGAGATAGGCTTTACGATTGGCTTTAATTATGGAATTAGTGATGGCAATGGAATTTCCTCTGCGATTTCTTAGTCTGTAAACTGGCCTTTAATTTTCACCTTAATTTTTGTTTTCTTTTCCTTTCCTTGTATCCCTTCTACAATGATTGCAGTTGGAAGGTGTGGTAACCTTCTTTGGCCGGGTTGCAATACTGATAGACCAGAATACACAGGCATTCCACATGTTCATTACTGCTCTTCTTCAGGTGCTTTAATTTCCTTGTGTCCCCATTTGATTATTTGCAAGATGAAATTGTTGAGTCTGGTCGTTATAATATGATAGGTATGTTTAATTAAATAACTCGTGGAGTCATCATGTGCAGCTGTTGGATCGATCGGGATTACTATATGGAGAGCTTGCTAGATTTGTGTTGAGACTGTTGGGAATTAGAGCAAAGCCTAAAAAGGTTCAGCCACTCCTGATGATGGTTTATGAGACTGATTTATACCACTGAGACTCAAATATGTGTTCCATTAGTTTAATGGTATTTTATAGTGTGTAGGTTTTTTCATTTTTCATTCAAAAATTTTTAATGGCAAACATGATTCAAGCTCCAAGGTTTATTTGGCAGCACTGCTCACATTGTTGTTTTTCTTGTCTTTCTCTCCCCCATTTGCTTGGATTTTTAAAAGCAACATTTTTTTTTGCTACTAGGGAGAGAATTTACTTTCCCTTCATTTGTGAAGCAAATCATACCATAATAGAAAGCTATTGTGATGATGAGAGAATGGTGTTATCTTCACACAGGCAAAGCGTTGATGTCGATTAAGGCGTCGTTTAGCAACATAGCAAATGTGTTGCTGGACTGGGATGTTGTTCACAACGATGATTTCTATTCATGGCGTGGCGTCTTCTGTGACAATGTCACCCTATCTATTGTTTCTCTGTATGTGTTTTCTATTCATGCTTATTTTTCTTTTTCTTTTTGCCATTTGATTCTACTAGAGTTTTTTAATTTTTTTTTAATTTTAATTTTTAATGTATATATATATATATATATATTTTCTTATATTTGTTTGTTGAAGGAATTTGTCAAATTTGAACTTGGGTGGGGAGATTTCACCAGCCATTAGAGACCTGAAGAATTTACAGTCCATGTATGCTTTCTTTGCTAATCCTGTTGATTTGGTGTTCTTGCTCATTGTAACCAAGTTTACATAATACTAACTTTAGATGTTGTTGTTGAAATATTTTCAGGGATTTTCAAGGGAACAAATTAACTGGTCAAATTCCTGATGAGATAGGCAACTGTGTTTCTCTGATGCTGGTGTAAAATTTCATCTTCTTTCTTCATTGCAATTTTATTTACATATATGTGGATGTATTAATATCTTCTTCTGTAACTAC